TCGGGTCTTTCACCCACCCACCATGGCGGATGGCTAGAAAAGACAGTTCGAGCTGCTGCGTACAGATCTTTATAGGGCAACATAAGGGGAGTGTCTAGGGGTACGCACAGGCCCACGATTGGTGTGCCTCCAGGCTTGGAGGGCTTGCCCTGTGTTGATTGGTCAACTGGTTGTTATGGTCCATTGGCGCTCCCAGGGTGGTTGCTATGCTTTCTACGTCATTGCTGTGCACTTGTCCGTAAAGCACACCCAGGGTCGTAAAGCATAGCGCCACCAGCTAACTTCTGATTGGTTCTTTGTCACGAGGCAGGCATCTGACTTTCTAGTGACTAACTTCTGATTGTTTCCTTGTCACGAGGTAGGCATCTGACTTTCTAGTGTCTAGGACAAGGTCATAGAAGCACGTGTTCAGCCATTATGGCTGCCAAAAGGGAAGCTGGTCCCTTCAAACCCTGGTCCACTGCAAAAGTAGCAAGAGCTCTTAACAACTCTATAACAAAGGAAGATTTAGGAACTTGTAATAAAAAAAAAAAAGTTGCCAAGTTTTAGAAAATTCAAATCTGTAATATCAAAACTAAGGATTATTCACAGTTCCTTAATTTATCTAGCAACACATCCAAATACTACTAGATGATATCATTAAAATCAAAAGCTGTACCAAGAATTCAAATATTAATGCATTTGATGAAAACAATTTTCAAAAACTTCTTACAAGTCAATGGAGAAGATTTATAACATAAACCCTGGCTATTTCAAATGTTCAGAAGAGGATACTAAAAATACCAAAAAATAAAAGCAGAACAATAACAACAACAACAAAACCCAACAGTTAACTGAATGAAAAGTTGGCTCCCATAGTAGAAATATTACACTGTTAAAGGTACCCCTGGAGAAGAGAAAGAGCATCAGGCATGAGGAGGTAACGCTCCATGATTGAGAATGGTTGGTGTCCTGATTACAGGAAGAATTTTTTGTGATGAATTGTGGAATAAAACATAAGTAGTCACTGGGAAATGGATTCAAACAGTGGCAAATGGAGCTTGAAGATCTGGAAATCTAGCTACCAGTAAGTGTCAGGAAGAGAGGAGGATGTGTCAAGGAACAAAAGGTCTAGTCATTTGTAAACTCTTAGCCTAGAACTAAATCTGTTATTGCACCCCCTTTAGTTTATGGTATGACAGGCTGGGCAACTTGAATGGAGACAGAGAGCAAAGGGCAAAATGTAAAGCTGGGAACAGTCAGCATCTCAAAAGAAAGGAATCAAACCCAGACCAAGGGAAACATAGTAAATTTAAAAGCCTTTAAAACAAGTGCAATTAGAATTCTCAAAAAAAGATAAAGGAAGTGCTGTGAGATTGGCAAGGTATTGGACAAATATTCAGATGTGAACAGACATTTAAAAATTTTAGTAGTAAAAATTTAAGAAGTTCAAGTGTTGTGGAATAATATTTTTGTACACTGTGAAGATTTGTCACTCAGACTGAATAGATAAAAAGCTGAATGGCCAATAGCTAGGCAAGATTTTCAGGGCAGAGAGGATGCTGGGAAGAAGAAGGGTGGAGACATGGAGAGTTGACAGTCAGAGATGGAGGAGCAGGAAAATTGCATGGGTAGTACAAAGTGAAGGTAGTGAAGCCACGAGGCAGAAGATAAATTAGTAGAAATGGGTTAATGTAAGTTATAAGACCTAGTTAGAAACAAGCCTAAGCTATTGGCTGAGCTTTCTTAATTAATAAGAAGTCTCCATGTGGTTATTTGGGAGCTAGCAGGAGTGTCAGAAGCCGAGAACAATTCCAGTAAAGAATGTGGGGGGTGGGGTTGGGAGGGGTCCAAACCTCTGGTTCCAGTATCCAGGAGCAGTAGGTGCCATTATATTGCAGATGCCAGCTGATTTGCATTGAATGGCATAGCCTCAGTGGAGAATGTCCCCTAGTTTTGCATCTCTACAGAACTAAGCATTTGAATAGACCTGCACCAGGGTGGAGAGCTAGGTCTAGGTGAGTAGAGACTGTTTTAAGGTATCTGCTGATAGCGTCTAGGAAGAGGTTAAAAGAGAAATGATTGCTGGTATTGAGAGAGAACGGGTTAGAAAGCAGTTAAGGTAAATGCTGGGATAAAGGGGAGACTCCAGTCTGCAGCA